ACCCATGCATAGCAAGAGGAGTTGATAGGTGACTCTTCCTGAGTATTTTTAAATCATCCAGATGACAAACATATCATTCATTTATTCATTCATTAGAGGCATAATTCAAGCACAGGGACATTACTTAAAGAGGAAGTAATAACAGACAAATCAGTATAAAAGCCTACATTGTATTATTTAGAAAACAGGTTACAGTATACAGTATGAACAAACTTTGGAAACCTAGTTTTCAGCATCAGACTAATTAATCCAATAACTATAACTTTCATTATTGCTGTTAGAGAAGTTATTAGCAACATATCCTGAGAAGCCAACTTTTGATTATGGTGCTTAGTTTGACTTTAATAATAATATTAAGCTTTATTCCAGAACAGTATTTGCGAATACAGAATGGAATTCTCAACACTTACTACAGTATTGCATCCAGTTAGTACATTATCAATAAAGAAAATTTTACATAGAATAAGGAAATCTCCGTTCATTATGACAACAACTTATTAGCATGTCGGCAAAGCCGAAATTGAACAGTGTTTGGAGGTGTTAGAAAAGTAGATGTTTGCATATTTACTGGAGTAAGCGGAAGACAGAAACAAAGCAGCACATAACAGAAAAAAGAGAGAGAGAAAAGGAAAAGAAGGAAGGAAAACGTTGTATCTATAAATGATATGAGTTGGAAAGACGAGGTCTAATTGTTCTACTGACTATTTATTAAGATGTAGGTATCACGCCTAATGCTTTCTTTATCGCACAGAACACGAGCTAAGTAGGGTATGATTGAGTTTTTGTACTTACTAGTGTGAGCATATAGTTTTCTATATAGGCTTCTGGTTTTGCCTGATGAGATTGCCTGATGAATGCTTGATGAATATGTTAAGAGTAAAAAAGTTAACCTATGAATGCAACTAGGTTATGCTAATTTGTAGTAGTCCCTGCGAACCATCAGATAAAATAAATGAAACATTAAACAAAATGCACACAATTATTTTGACCTCCACTCACTTTACTGACTTTCGGTAGGGTTGTCAGGATAGAAAGGTTAGCACATCCCATTCAGAAATGGTCTACTTTCTTTAGTTTTATTATTAACCACAAGGATATGTATGTCTGTATGTCTGACGTGTCCTACTACCGGGTCATCCTGAACGTAATGATGTCATATCTTCATGTCCTATTATATCTTTGTACATCTCAACAATCTCCAGTCTGTTCTTTCTACATCTTTTTCACCTAGTTTACATCACACAGTTATTATTGATATTGTTAGGTGCCAGCTTTTAATTTATGCTAATCTTATTAAATTTGTTTATGGTGTTTGAAATGTCACTCATTAGAATGACTATGGATCGCCTTTTGTAACTTATTATTGTAAATTCGGTAAACACCTCACCTGAATCATTTTGTCCCATATTTCCAGTTTATGTAAATTTCGTACTAGATGAAATAACTAACAAAGTTAACTGTCCGAATTTTCATTTTTTGATTCAAAAGTTATTATTGTTCCTTTGGGTTCCTAGTGGAACATAGGGATTCAACTGCACGTCTCCACTTGCCAATTCTGTCTTCCTTCTGCTGTACTTTTCACCTGAATCCATGTTAGTTAGTCCATACTCTTTCAACGCCTCTTCACACCGTCTCCTCCATGTCACCGTTGTACTGACGTCCCACTCGCCGATTCCCTTCCGGGTTCCACTAGAGGGCTTGACGCGTGATGCCATCCAGCGATCTCCTCAGCGAGTGTCCGATCCATCTCCACTTTCTCCTGCATATTTGTTGGGCGAACGACTGGTTCTTGTTTTGTTTCTTCCCATAGTTCGTTGTTGGTGATTCTTGCCCGGCCATCTGATCTTCAGTATAGACCCAGCAAAGACAGTTGTTGGTTGATAAAGGTCTGCAACTGGCTGTTGAAAATATTCTTTGTGACCCGCCCCCTCCCCGCCAAGTTTCTCATCCGTATAGAAGAACTGACTGACTTGACGCTGTTTGTATTGAAAATCCGACTGAATTTTGTTGTTGATGCTGGCTGAGTGACGAAGATTTCCAGACTGGTTTCATGTTGATGAATGTGTTTCTCGCCTTCGCGATTCTCGCTCGATTTGACATCCTCGTCCGTTCCGACTGCCTGCAGTTGAGACAATGGTCCCTCTCTAGATAAGTGAATGAAGCAACCTCTTTCAAATCCCTCTCGTTGATGGTAATTAGCGCTGGATGTTGCTGCTGTTGTTGTTGTTGGCTGGTTATTTTCACAACCTTCGCCTTGTCTATGTTCACTTGGAGTCCTATTTTTGTTGCTTCTTCGGCCAGCTTGTCGGTTTTCGCTCGCTTGTAAGTCTTCGATTTTGTGTGACATCAAACATAAATCATCGCCGCGCGAAATCCAGGTCTTCTGGGTTCTTTGCGTCGTTCCAGAAAATGCCTGTCTTCTCGTTTCCCACTGTCTGACGCATAATCCAGTCAGTTCACCACAATTAGGAATATCATTGTGGGTAATAATAAGCACCGTTGTGTGACTCCTGTGTTTACTCCAAACGCCTCGCTGAGTTTTTCGTTGTGGATCACTTGACATGTGCCGTTGTCTGTCTTTTAAATAGTTATATTTATGACCATTTTTATGGATTTTTATATCCTGAAGAAAAAGTTACTGATAACATCTGTTTGTAATCTTGTAATGTTTTATGTGAATCTCTACAGTGTTGACGTCTGGTGATTTGAAAATCTTCTCACTCAGAGTGACTAGCAACCATCAGCAGAGCAACGCAAAAGTGAATCATCCTTTAGTATCTAAAGTCAAAGTTAAATCAAATTCATAGAGGCATGTTATCTATTGTGTGGTTGATAGTGGCTATCATTGGAATCTATGGGGTGCAGTTCATCTTATATGTGACTCGTCATCTGGATTTACTTGCATTATCAGTGAGTAGTGCTGTTATCAGTGAGACTCAGACACAGCTCTCAGCGTTTGAAATGTTTTGTAACTCCCAGACCAGTTCACCAGGACAACCATGTGACAGTGCAGTTCGGTTCAGTATTAATCAATGAACAAGAAATGCAAATTAATTTTGACAAATTATAAAAGAGGTCACTTATTACAATTTTATAATGATGTACACAGACCATCATCTACAGAGACCAATCAGTTTTAATGGAGTGGTCTGTGCAATTACAGTTTATTTAGTACTTGTAAAAGGGAAGGTAATCAGCTATAGTGGAGTGTACATAAATGCAACATGTTTCTTGATTATGAAACACAGATTAGCATATATGCCCATGATTTTTCATGGAGTGCTAATGCCGGACCAAAATCCTGCCTTCCTTTTAACGATAGTCTAATAAATAATGCTTTTAGGTTTTAAATTATGGACTGTGTGGTCGAGCCTCATCCAGAACACCATTTCTCACTTGAGATGCGGTAACATCCAGTGGATAAGTCCCAAAGATGACGAAACGCGTGCTCTGGTTTCTACTATCAGTTACTGTCGACTAGATGACATGATGTTTGTCAATTTTCTGCTGTTTCTGTTTTTGAAAATGACGGGATGACTATCAGGAATAAATCTTGGTAGACAAACTGTCATTGTTGTATGAGTACTCTTCAACTGGTTTCAGTTAAATTGTTTTATTCTAATCGTTTGGATTTTTGTTTAAATGGGAGCTATGAATAAGCGCTATAATTCTGATTCTGGTGTTATATAAGCATATAGATAGTGAAGTCGAATGCATTAAAATATTTACTTGTGCGGGGATTATTTTAGTTGACTGTAAGTGATTTTGCAAGGAATAACTCCGAATTTAAGGAAATCATTGTTGCTATATGCTGCATAAAATACTGCCGAATTATATGAAGCACCAGTGCTGAAAAATCATATCAAACTGCCGGTTGTGTAAAGATGAAAAATGAGTCTATAAATTATTCCCTTAACTGATTAGCTGCAAACAAACAGATGTTTGTTAAAATTCCATGGGATTCTAAGTGGAATATAGAACTTCAATAGCATATCTCCATTTCGTTCTGTCCTCTGCAGTCCTCTTCAGCCGACCCCACGACTGCTCATAAGCCTTTATCTCTTCTTTATACAATCTCCTCCATGTCGGTCGTGGACGCACCACTCATCGTTTCCCATTCGCCTTCTACTCAAGCGCGATATTACCTAACAGTTTTCTCATAGTGATGAAAGTATTCCTTGCCTTTCTGATTCTGGTTTTGATATCCTAATCTCCCGTAGTTAAAACGATGCTGCGCAGATAAGAGAAGGAAGTAACCTCTTTCAAATTTGCTCCGTTAGTAGTGACTCCTACTTGCTGTTGTTCGCTGGTTATCTTCATCACCTCCGTCTTTCCCATGTCCTCTTGAAGTCCTGTGTTTGCTGCTTTTCCTGCCAGCGTATTGATTTTTGATTGTATGTCTCCGTGCTTGTATGATATTAGACATGAATTATCCGTGGAATACAGATCATCTAGTGTCTTCTTATCGATCCAGCATATTCCTGTGTTCTCAATTCCCTCAGTTTTAAGCATAATCGCACCAACTACAATTGGGAATATCATCGTCTGTGGTAGTGGATAGCCTTGTCCTATTATATATAATCATGTCGTTATTTTGATACTCAAGCACTCTTATTAAACTATGCTTTGAGAATGTTTGACACAGCAACAAACCTGTAATCATTGGAAGCAATTTTCGTTATACGCCATTTAAATAGTCATTATATGGTTGACAGTGAGCAGGAAAATTAAATATAATAATAATAATATGCAGACAGGTACACTGCATAAGAATTCAAATAAAGTGGAGATGGAGAATTCTACGGCAAAACTACCCAATACACTAAAATATTCTTTATCATTCCTAGAAAATCCGTATGGACGGGGCGTTTTGTGGTGTAAGTTAGACTTGTCCAAAATACTCTGATTTTTACTACATAAAACTCTCACTGTCTGTAAATTTTACCTATATTTATATGGTCACATTAATATTCACACTTTTTTTGTCATGGTAATTTTAGCAACACTTGGGACATACAATATCTACACAAAACGTGCCAGTTTCAAAGATGATGTCATCCTTCAACAGTTTATACAGGACAATTGTGAAGTAATTACACCACCGGTTATTGAAGCTGTGAGTCATTTATTGCATTACAAATGCTTTGTATCAATGTATCATTTATAGAATAAAAGATAATTTAGTGATTTCGTGAGGTTAAACGTTACTTCATTTGAACTAAACTAATATTTCCGAAAGGTTTTAAACAAGGATGTGAACGCACTTAATGTAAATGCTCAGTTATTTCAGTAATGCGTTATTCCCTGCCTCGAGTAGCTCAATAGTAATGTCTCTCAGTAAAACATCAGATAATGCGAAATATATTCATTGAAAGTGGACAATAATCTTGAGATTCCCAACTAAAGTGTCAATGTATCCGTTTTCTTGTCCCTTTGAAATTGAGTATGAATTATTTTCCTCCCATTTAAATTTATTTATTTCTGACTTCACCGTTGAATATTCTTTCTTTTGGACTAAAAAATCCCCTCCATGAAATTCCACAAAACAACAACAAGGGTTAATATGTCTGTGCAACATATTTTGAACAATTTGATCACACAAATAATTGTTGTAGGAATTTCACAGAAAAATAATGAGGTGTTAAGGCGTGGAGAATAGGCAGAAATCAATTTACTAGCCATATTATAGATCAAAATAACAATCGAGGTTGATAAACCAGAGATTGGAGATAAAATTGCATTTATCCTAAAATCAAAACAAAATTTACTAAAGAAGGTTTTCAATTTGATAACAAATTGTTTCTAAACAATATTAAGGTGATTTAAACTCCTAAATTGCTAGTGCTCCCAAAATCTTCAGAAAACGCCCACAATACCTTTTGTAAATAGATTTAAAAGACTTGTAAATAGTGGTCTCACGCCTTGTATCTATTATAAATATTTCTTGATAGAAGAGCTGAGTTATATGTTTTCACAGTCAACAGTTTGGAAGAATTTCATATACTTTTGAAGCCTTTCGTTGCAGTGATTTTAGAGCCCTCCCTATATATGTCTGACCTTATGTAGATTGAAATTGATAGATAAAATTTCATTATGATCTCTGTGTTTTTCCTTTCAAATATGGCCACGTCAAACAACAAAATTTTATGTACAGCTGACAACAGGTTTAACAATGCATTATATATTTATTATTTTATTATTATTGTTCCTCTGGGTTCCTAGTGGAACATAGGGATTCAACTGCACGTCCCACTTGCCAATTCTGTCTTCCTTCTGCTGTACTTTTCACCTGAATCCATGTTAGTTAGTCCATACTCTTTCAACGCCTCTTCACACCGTCTCCTCCATGTCACCGTTGTACTGACGTCCCACTCGCCGATTCCCTTCCGGGTTCCACTAGAGGGCTTGACGCGTGATGCCATCCAGCGGTCTCCTCAGCGAGCGTCCGATCCATCTCCACTTTCTCCTGCATATTTGTTGGGCGAACGACTGGTTCTTGCTTTGTTTCTTCCCATAGTTCGTTGTTGGTGATTCTTTTCTTGCCCGGCCATCTGACCTTCAGTATAGACCCAGCGAAAACAGTTGTTGGTTGATAAAGGTCTGCAACTGGCTGTTGGAAATATTCTTTGTGACCCGCCCCCTCCCCGCCAAGTTTCTCATCCGTATTGAAGAACTGACTGACTTGACGTTTGTATTGAAAATCCGACTGAATTTTGTTGTTGATGCTGAGTGACGAAGATTTCCAGATTGGTTTCATGTTGATGAATGTGTTTATCGCCTTCCCGATTCTGGCTCGATTTGACATCCTCGTCCGTTGCGACTGCCTGCAGTTGAGACAATGGTCCCTCCCTAGATAAGTGAATGAAGATATTAGTTCAGACTAAATATCAAAATTCACCGAAATTGAGTTGCACTCAAAATATCACTAAACAGGTTGAACAGATTTAAAAGCTAATGGATTTCATTATAGAAACTCTGTCAGTGAAGCAATTAAAATGTATCAGTCAGAAATAGTTTGAAAACAATAAGTTAAAAGAAGCAGTTATATTTTATGTTTTAGAATAATTTGAATTGGTCAGAACAGTGTCGATATTATTCTAAGAGTAACAAAAAACCCTCCCAATGGTCCTTGTTTGTCAGTACCTAAACATATATCAGAGGTGACAAGTAACCATTCATTCACGTGGTGAAGCTAAATATACACTTAAGCTCAATTTTATATCACATTTCACCACTCTGACTAGAAATAGGCGTTAACCGGAGAATAAATTTAGTGAAATAATAGTAACAGTAGTTATTTATTCCTATTTAAGGTATTAGACCTCTAAAAAAATGAAAAGTATTGGAAATATAACCACATTCATTGCTGCTGTCTAGCCTCAGTAGAAAATACTATTACACAACGATAGAAGATAACTCTATGCATGTCACAGTAAAGAGAGACTACCTCTTGAAAAGACGGCTTTCATGCAACTGTCAGCTCAAAGGCTTTGGTCAGCTACTAGGCGCCCATCCTACGTTGCATTCCTTCTCCTTATATCCCAAACATTTTCACTTCCTTTGCCTTCGATTAAACGACAGGATTCTATCAATTCTCTTTTGCACTGCATCTACTATTTCAGTTGCAGTTGGGGTGACGGGTATGGACAGAACCAATAGAATGTTCCATTGTCGCCATGAAGAACATAATTGTATTTAATATTTAAGTCAGATAAGAAATTTAAATATATTTAATCTGAGCAGGCATTCAGCATCATCCATTGCAAAGCATTTGTTAATGTCTAGTCACAAAATGAATGCCAATGACTGTTTCACAGTTATTCGACATAACTATAATTCAAGGTTAATAAAGGTAGCTGAAGCGTTTTGGATCAATCATACACGTCGCATTCCAAGTGTACAGAAAATGGCAGACTTCAAAATTTGCCTACCATAGACTATTTGATTTACTAAAATATAATTGCTTATTGGCAGGCACTTTTATTTGATATATATCTCAGTAATCACCACACATTCCACTTTGTTATTGTGAACTATGCTAGTTGTAAAGCGATCTTAATGAAACTACGAAATGTTGTCATCCCGCGATATTTGTTCTCTAAATGCCTTATTTAAATTTATCAGAGGGCTTACTTGTTTCAACTCGAAACATCTTGATCATGCGTAAAACAAACGTTAAGCTTGTTGTTTAAAGCTTGAGAGTTGAGTACATGGAAACATGGGGGATATATCACACCAAATAACAAAATATTGTCCATATATTTTCGGTGTAATTTCAGTTATAATAGAAGTATTTAGGAGTTTTTTATTATTCATAAACGAATATCAAAAACAGTACCCAGAAAAGATAGTTCTTGATGATAAAGCATATTACATGCCTGATTCAGATGAAATATTGGCGTCCACCATGAAGCGAAATTAGACTTTGAATAAAGACTAAGCATGTGAAGTATTTTTAATGCGTTAGTTGAAAAACAGGTAAAATTAATCTGCGACTTTGAATAAAGCAAGAACAACATTGGTTTGTACAGAATAATATGTTAACATCGTTTATTCAGTTGGCTTCTCATCAGCTGCTTACAGCCTAAATAAATTATGAGGTTTACATACAGAAAAGGTTTAACATATTTGCATATTTGACAGGTTGTCAGTTGACAAAAAGTTCCACAATAATAAGCCTACATCTCAAGGAAACAAATTCTTATAATAGCGCTATTGTCAGACCTCTCCTCGGCACGGATCATGAGGTGGAAATCGAGAATTCTTTTAAAATTATCAATAGAAAAAGGAGCTCCATTCTCCTCAAGTTTGCCGAAGCCATTTCTATCAAACGCTTGAAACTAGATTTATGTGTTCAGAAAGAAGCAATTATTAGTCTTTCCTTGCCCTGGTAACTAAGTTTCTTTATTCTTCCGTCTGATAACGTAATCTTTGTCTTTAACTACACTCACTCTTTTATAATCTGTAATTTTGCTTGTTTCTTGTTTCTATGATTTGAGTTCAACTCAGTACATTGTTACCTAATTTATTAGTCACTCTGTATCTAACGCATATTTCGTCTTTAACTCCTTTACCATTGTATGCATACATTTATTTTGTTTCAACTTGAACTGCCTGTGTAAAAAACTATATAAGCGCAATTTTTTCAGCCCTGTTCACTTATTGTGGAACATTTTGTCAACTGACAACATGTCAAATTTGCAAATATGTTAAAACTTTTCTGTACGTAAACCTGATGAAAAGCCAACGAAATAAGTAATGATGTTATCATATTATTCTGCACAAACCACCACTGTTGGTCTTGCTTTATTCAAATTCATCAAGGGGAATAAATGCATGAAGTAATCTGCGACTCACTACTGACTAAATGACAGATAGATACCCCAAACGTTCGCATGAGAAGTCATGACCATTGGGGTCCACTAATTTGGGTGTGAGGACAGATACTAGCGGATAGCACTGGCTGGTAATGACTTTGTAAAACGTGAGTCAGCAGATGTAACGATTCATCGACCAAAGGATTCCTTCCCAGTAATGAAATGTTCGATATACACGCCTGTTAATATGATCATGAACTGCTGAATCATCCTAAACTAGGTAGATTCAATGATTTCCAATGGTTCTTCAAATGATGTCAGTTTATTATCCAACACGACCTCATTAAAATCCTTGTAAATCAATACTTGAATATTTTTTATGGAATTAATCCTCGTTTATAAAAAAGTAATGCATCTAATCATCGTGGGAATTTCTTTTGTTGCTATTGATGAAATTTCAATGAGCTTTCATGCAGAAACATTGTTTCTCCCATCATCCAGTTTACACCAAGTATTACGCAGCAAGGTGAAATTTTTTGATGAATTTAAGAGACCAACTGAGTAAGATATGGAATCCACTTCTGGAGTAACAGGTTTTGTATACTATGCAGTGAAATTGTCATTTAACACTTCGCCTTGGCTGATGAAACTGGGTTCAACTCTTAATGGTAGTAGCATCATGGATACAGGTGTACTAGCTCATAGATGCAAAACAAGGTAAAACGCCCGTTATGAAATCCACTGCTGTCCGCTTCCACTTAAATAACATCGTGGTAATCTCAAGGCGTCTCTGAAGTAT